GTTGCTACACTACACACATAATTCAACTAGTCCTTAGGAGAGAGATTGCTCCCTATGTTTCAATGTGACATTTTTATGGAAGGATTTTGTTTTTGAGGCTGAAGACAAATATTTCAGAGTAATGTACATATGGATCATTGAAACCATGAAAGGGATTTAAATTGAGGGTCCCAAATGGGGGATGCTAAATAGTTTTGGCTTTTAGCTCTGTTAATAAAATGTAGTCACTAATGTGATAGCCATGCTCCCAATCTGCAGAGGAATGACAGATGAAAGGCTGGCTGAAGTGGAAGAGTCTGAGCTGATATTTGTTTTGTACCATTTCAGGTAGTTTAGTAATTCATATGCCATGTACAAGGGAGTTGCCATTGAGGATATCTAAGCACAGAAAAACATACTTTAATGTTTAACCTTAGCAATTGTAAATTAAATATAATGCGAAAATGCATCTTTCCTGAATATAAAGGTAGGAGATGAAGTTACTTTATTACCCAGATACATGAAACTTTTGTGAAGATATTGAATTAGGAACCAAGAATGTGAATGTTTTCAAAACACCACATTATAGACGAGATTACCATAGATTTCCTGGATGTTGAATTCAGGATGGGCTCATTTGCTAAAATAAATGGGACACTTTTTAGTATAGGGAAAAAATATATATATACACATACACACACACACATATTCAAGGTTAAAACCCAGGGGTGCTTAACTACTGTGCCACTTTCCCAGCCCTTTTTATTTTTAACTTTGAGAGAGGGTCTTGCTAAGTTGCTTAGGGCCACACTAAGTTGCTGAGGCTGGCTTTGAATTTGTGATCCTCTTGCTCTGCCTCCTGAGCTGCTGGGATTACAGGCTTGTGCCACTATGCCCTGCCAGAAACTTATACTTTCATTAAGTTAAGAAAACATATTGAAAATGTGATTTAATGGGGATAAAAGGTACAATAGCTTTGAAACCAGAGGCTGATTTAAATTAATATTGTCATTCCCTAAAATATGGTTTCTCACCATTACCAGAAGTTTCACAGTTCCTTTACTAAGCTCAGTCTGAAGAAGCTGATACTAGATTCTAGAGCTATCCTGAAGGAACCTTCAATAGGGTGTCACATTTTTACCCCATTTTTATGTATAGAGTGCATATTGATAGGGAGGAGAGTAGGCAGGTGGATGGAGTATAACTGTTGAAAGTACAGCTTGGGGTCAGACTCCTTGGGTTTGGAACACAGCCCTCTCACTTACTAATTGTGTTAGCCTGGTAATGTAACCTCCTTGTGTCCCAGATACTTCAACTTCAGATAATAAAAGCATCAACCTCTTGGGTTACTGTGAGGATTAAATGAGTATCTCTGTGCACAACACTTAGCACATGGTTTGGTCTATGGTATATATGCAAATATTAGCTGTTAATTTTATGTTTGTGACCTATTATGTCCTGTACCCAGAGAGGGAAAAACATATTTTTGGCATAGGAAATGAAACCTGTTTAAAAGTCAAACTGTTGAGGTCGGGTGTGGTGGCGCACGCCTATAATCCCAGTGGTTTAGGAGGCTGAGGCAGAAGGATCATGAGTTCAAAGCCAGTCTCAGCAAAAGTGAGGTGCTAAGCAACTCAGACCCTGCCTCTAAAAATAAGATACAAAATAGGGCTGGGGATGTGGCTCAATGGTCAAGTGCTCCTGAGTTCAATCCCTGGACCAGGAAAAAAAAAAAAAAGTTAAACTGTTGATTATTGACTCGCTAGCTCCTTATTCCAGTTATGCATACCAACCCATACTTAGGAGGGATGGGAAAAGACCTGCATTATGGGGGTAGGAGGGCAAATTGTAAAGCTGACCTGAGAAGTCATCGTCATTGCATGTTTGAGTTACCGTCATTGAAGACCAGTTCCTTCTCCTTGCTGCGCATGCCATTCTGAATGTTTTGAGATGTTGGCATCAATCACTGTTGCACTTATATGGCTTTTGACTAGGAGAGTTACTATCTGCTGGACGACTGTGTTGCCAAATCCTATTTGGCAAATAGGACTATCCAGAGCACTGTTCTCACTCACTGCACATGGAATTGGTCAACAGCCAACTAACAAAATCATACAGTAAAATGTGCAGTTGATAAAACTCACTCATAGGCAACAACTTATACATATATGTGGTGTGTTTATATATATACTATATATATAATGCACCGCTATACATGAATTATAATTCTGAGGGTCACAGAATATCAAAATGTTTGTTACGACATAAATATACAAAGTACTGTGACACTAAAATTGATGACTCTGTAATTTTATTTTCCTCTTGGGAATCAATTGAGCTATTGATTCCACAGCAGATGTATTTTGATTAAGATCATGGCAAGATATGTTTGACAGCAATTCCAAGTTATTAGAACCTATTACACTTTTGAAGTTTAGTCATCTGAGATTGTATGTATATGACCTTAGCTTAGTGAGATAATAAATCTATCACTATTTTGTTCCAAGGACTGTATCTTCAATGCTATAATTACCATGCACTGTTTAAAAATTGTGTGCCTTCCTGGGTGGTTTGAGCATGCTGAGGTGCTTAATGCATACATTTAGGCTAAGCAGAGTTAGAATCATGCATATGCTTCACATATATTTACAACCCAATTTTGGGGCATATATACAGATTGAATCTGTACTGTTTAAGATAGTTGATTTCTCAGCACAGTTGAGGCTTGGTTCTCTAGCTGTGAACATTGCTAATTGTGTTGTTTATTACGGTTGTGGCTATGAATGATTCTGTAAAATCATAGTAGAATTATTTCCAGTGAAAACTTGATTTAGTAAAAGTGAAAAATGTATATTTTTCACTTTTACATGAAACTAAAATGTACATAGTGACTTCTACACATATTGTAGAATGAATTATTCAGGACCAACAATGGAAGTTTTAAAAAGCCATCATGAAAATAGTGTTATTTATATGTGCTAAATGAAACATGGACCCAGCCAAGTTTTTATGATTTATAAGTTTTTAACTTCAAAGACTCTGGTTAGCTTGCATTTTTTAAACTAATGAGTTTATCACAGCCAGTGGGGAAGATGGTTAAAGTATATCAGTTGTAAATTGGTACAAAGCACTAAAAAGCACTAAAAGGGACATTAGCCTCTAATCAGATTCTAACAGTTCATTAAACCTGCCTTTCCAGATCGCTCTTTGTCTTTTCTCCTTCTTTGCTTAGGCCTTCTTTATAAGGTATCTTGTCCCCTTTTCATCTGGGCAAGACCTCCTCCAGGGTAGGAAGCAAGATCAGCTCATTCTTCACTGTCCACCAGCCCCACCACCTGCAGAATGCTTCAGCAAGGCAGGTTCCTAGAGCTGCTTATGAGGCTGGGGAGTTGAGGTCTGGCTGGCTGTAGGAAGGCTTTCCTAAGACCGGCTGGTGGCATGCCAAGCTGGCTGCTTCCAGCCACAGAAGCAAGTGACCCATTAGGATTTGAGATCCATGCCTGATGTGCAAACAACCATAGGCCCAGGCCCAGATGAAACGATTTTAAATTTGGAACAAATTAACTGAGCTTACCAGCAATACCACCGTTCCTTCTGCTCTAAGCTATCTATTAGAATGCAGATCCACTCCCCACAAAATATGGACAAGTCAAAAGCAAGACTGTAAGAAAATGAATCCTCCCAATTTTGAAAATATTGTTCATTTCCTGAAAAAAGGTGACACTAATTTTGTTTTCTTATTTTTATTACTTAATAGACTAGGCAGTGTGGACTTTTTAAATGTTCACTAGTTAACTTGAGTACATTTTTTTTCCTTGTTGATTTCCCAGCAAATATAGGATAAAAGGCACTATATATTTTATTTCTTATATTATTTTCCTTAAACAAAGAGTCAAGAATTATGAGAAATAGAGCTTCACTCTACTGCACTCTGTTGGTATTATATGGTAATAATACTTTCAATTTCTGATTTGTTGAAGTTGTTTTTCGTAGAGAAGTAACTCTTTGGAGGAGAAATTATACTAACCTTTGTCACCCATGTAGGCAAAATATTTAGGAACTGATCTTACACTTAAGACCACTTCAGTGTTACGTGTTTACATTCTGCAATTGAGACAAAGATAATTATTGTAAAAACACACATTTAGTCTTATTAGTGTCTTAGTTTAGCTGGTATTATTAGGCACTTTACACATGTTTAAAACAAGCCTGATTTGGACCTTAGGTGTACACTGATGTGGGGCTCTCTGGCGCCCTACAGATGTTACTCCAGAAAATTCTTACAGCAGTAAAAATGAGTAGAAAATAAATTTATTCATATAAATGTTTGAAATTCTATTATGAACCACAACATAAATAAGGTTCTCCTTTCAGGAGGTGGTGAATCAAGGCAAACATATACTAGAACAGGAAAAAAAAATTTTTTTTGTTCCTTAGTTTTGACTTTAAGAATTTAGTCTTAATTTACAACTTATATTGGCTTTCCTTAAAATAGTGTTTGGGGGAATGATGATGTAGAAATTTTCACTTGATCAGAATTGCCATGATGTAAAAATTAAATGAGTCCAGAATTATATTATCTTGCTTTTAAATTATTTAAGCTCTGAGAGTATATAAATTATTTTAAATCTTATTTTCTCTTTTATGAATGCCTGTACACAGGGCAACCTCTAGGACTAAGAAAGAGAAAAACTTGGCTTATATTTCCTTCCATTCTTGAGAAAGTATGATAAATTGTCAGCTCCATAAAAATTAATGTAAGGTTTCTACACTGCAGTTTATTACAGGCTGACCTCCAACCCAGAGGTCAGAGGATCAGACTGATTAATTCAACTTCTTGGTCATTATTTCAAATGAAAGTTCAGAGTGGGGGATAATTGGTTATGATGATACCTTCATTTAATTATACTTCATTGTTAAAGAATTAGGTTAGCGGTACCAAAGGTACTACTAGGAAGCAAGACGCTATCAGATGTCCTCTTTTGATGCTGTATAACTAAATCTCTCTCTCTCATTCTCAGAATATCAACACCTTTGAGAACAGAATGTTAATGCTTGATGGGATGCCGGCAGTCAGAGTCAAAACAGAGCTTTTGGAATCTGAACAAGGGGTAAGCAGAAGTTTCCAGTGACGCCTGCCTCCTTCCCTTTTTGATCATGCCCTTTGTATCCAGGGCACCCAGAGCACCTTTACGTTTTCCCACTGCTTGCATTTTTCTCAAGTAAAAATTACCTGAGATGGTGGTTGGTTCTCACCCAGTTTTAACCTCGACTGTTCCTCCCTTGGAAGGAATAGCATCTTGAAAACAGGGAAGCACAGGGACCTTCTAAGAACGATTACATCTCTTTAAATTTGGTGGGTGTTTTGAAAAGCTAATAAAAACCCACCACAAAGGGAAACATGAAGAAATGAGATGAGAATTTAACCTCATGACAAAAACAGCTAGGTTCTAAGTTAAGAAGTGTCAGAGCCCAGGGAGTGGGAATGTTATCGTTTACTGGATGAATTTCTCTTTTGACCTTGGTATTTACACCCTCCCCCCCCCTCCCCCCTTTTATTTCAACTCCAGGAAGACTAGGGAATGGTTGATGAAATTGAGGTCAGTGAATTTGAAAAGTACCTAAAAACAAAGAAAGTTTATATGTATGTGGCACATTACCTAATCAAATTGATGAATTAATTTATGGGCACTGAAAATATAAGGACTAAAACACAGGTTTTATTTTAAGGACATAGGACATTACATTTTATATTTGTCAACTTTATAGCTCCACTAACGTAAAGCATACAGGTAGTATAATTGATTGCAGAATTGCTGTCCACTCTGTATATATAAGGGGGAAAAAACTCTGCTGTGTGCCTGAATGCATGTGGGCTACCTGTCTTATTAAACCTCCAGCACTGAGACACTGCAGATGACTGCTACAAAGACATAAGTAAATGTATAATCTTTACCTTTTTAATATATCTTTTTTCAAAAATACTACATTAGAATCAGCAATGTTTTGTTCTTGGAAACTCAAAAAATATTTTAGACATGAATAAAAATGTGTTACAGAAAATCAGTATGAAAGTTCATCTGCGATTCCACTCAAGGGGTGGGATACCAGTGTACCAAAGGATTTCATGATGGCTGCTGAGGTTTCAGATCCAGGTAGTGGCAGTTAGAGGGTCTCAGTAACTTTGACATTGCTGAGCAGTGGGTGACAAGGTATATGACATCTCAACATAATGTCTCCTTTTCAAAGTAAGAATGTGTTTGTTGAAACAGATCTGGTTATGGTAGAGGATGGCATTTCACTTAATTGTTCAGTGTTGATTTATATAACTCTGAAATGAACTTGGTGGAGTATGTTAGCCATTGAAGCTTAGTGTAATGACACACTCTCAAGGAGCCAGCCCAAGGCTGAGGCAGTAGCGCATCATAAAGGAGAAAACTGTGTGGCAGTTACTAAAAGTTCATTGTCCCTAGACAGCCTTCCATGAAAAGTTATGTGCTCACCTGGTTTTCTGGCCAAACTGTGTGGTTAAACTCCATAGATCCTTCAAAACATCTAGATATTTTTTTAACCTTGATTAGTTCATCTAACCATAAGAAGGGTTTATTTCAGTTTTTTAAAAAATTCTGTTGTCTCAATTCATTTCTCAAAGTCTAGATGCATTGTCATGAGTTTAATAAAGTAAATTTGTGCACAGTTCACAGACATCATTACATCTCATTCAGAGAGGATGGCCTTTTTTATTGCTGAGGGGGGAAAAGTGAAAAAGCAATCTGGGTTTCGCAGTGCTGCTTTCATTTCATGATACTTTCTTTAACTTGAATAGCAGTAATTCCATTCAAACTGTACATGTTAGAGGAAGGCAAAAGCTACAGAACACCTGCAGTCAGAAACTATGACCTGGACCAATGGTCAAAGCCAAGGTAGAGTGTTGTTGCCAACAGCCTGGTAATCTTTAACAGTATCCAGAGAATTCTTCACCCTTTACTGTCATCATTTTTCGATTTCAAGGTAATCTTTTTGTGAAAGATTTAAGTGTTCAAAAAAAAAAAAAAAAAAGCCAATGCTTGTAGAGTTTTTACAGTGTAAATAAGAACCCCACATTACATTGTTTATAAAGAGCATTATTTTGTACTTAAACAGGGAAAGGAAAAACTGTGGGGTATTACTTAATGCCACTTCAATAAAATCAATTTTCTCTTTTGTGAGTGGGGTAGATGTTGATATTTTAACCCTAATTTAAATTGTGCATGTTGGAGGGAAATAAAAACTTTAATATTTTTTTCTTAGTTTTGTATGAACTTCTTAAATAGGAGAGAGATGATTTCATTCTCTCATAGTAAGGCTTCAAGAGAAACAATTTGCAGTGTTTATTAAAATATATTGGACTTTAACTTTTTATAGAATACAATAATTTAAGGTATAAAATCTGAACTTGAATGATTTTCAGTTTTGGCCACTTCACTGGATTTTTCATTGGTGATGATGGGGCAGATGGTATATATCATATAATTTCAGAATCTCATGCCTGCTTTTAGGAAGAGTGCTAGAATTTTGATGATTTCATAATTCTTTCCTTATTTACAGTTAAAGACTGGCTGAAGATTGATTCTTTGAAAACAAATGTCACATAAACGGGCTATTGAAATTTAAATAATCCTTGTGTGATTATGGGATTTTGAAAAAAAGTATGACATGTTGTTTACAGCAAACAAAAAATTAGGTAAACTGACTGTATCACAGTAGTGACTGAGAGCCCAGAGTTGGTACGGTGGTTCAGTCTACTACCACACTGAAAAACCTAGTTTTGAGATTTTATCCTTGACACAGGCATTAACCTTAAGTCTTTGGGGGAAGAAAACAGATACTTTTTTTTTTTTTTTTTAGCATTTTTAAAGATTCACCACTGTACCCAACCCTGTCTCCATGAACATGCTTGTTCTAAGTAGTCCCTCAAGTCTCCCCCTTTGAGCTGGTTTCTGCAGGTGTCCTGCCCCTCCAAGAAATTCATGACCTGATGAGCACATTTCAGAGCTTAAAGGAAGACCGTGGACCATGCCAGGCCAGGTCTCCGAGAAGTTCTGGCTGCTTCGCCCTGCTCTCTGAATGAACATTATAGCATGTGAACTTGGTCATGTCTCTTCAATCAGACTGTAAGCTTTTAGAGGGCAAGAGCTGTGTCTTAATATTTCTTCCCTGTATCTCTGGTAGTTCCTGATACATGGTCATTGGTCAGCAAAAACATGATTTATTCAACTTGTCTACACACTATAACTAGCATTGTAAAAAATATACAACCCATCAATAGCTAGTTGTAAACCTACTCTGTCTGCTTCAAAGGGTTATTGTGAACACGATAATCAAAATTGTAACTATTGGAAACACACATTCTCACTGGTGGTGCAGGTCTCAGTCTTGCAGCTGTGTGAACCAGATGGGCATGGCAACACAACAGCTCCAGCTCTGGGCACCTTCTGTTTGGATTTCTCCAACTTACAGTTCAGTTGTGTGATATCTAAGTCGATTATCCTGAAACGTGACTTCAGTTTTCTTCGGGCTTGTTGGTAATATGGTGCATGCTGCTAAGCAGTCTGTAGGAAGGGCATGCGCTCTTGTGATATGCTTCAGGGGCACAGCAAGGAGTGTTTGAGTGACTTTATCTTTGACCTTATGTTCTTGTGCCCTGCTGTTACAGGAACTTCCCAAATGCTGTCAGCCTTTGGATGTTCTAACATGTTATTAAGCAAAGGACTATAGCAGGAAGAAGAGTTTTGGAACTTCTACACTCAGATAAGGCAGTACACAGAGAAAGGGCACTGCCTCAAAGACATAAAACACAATTTTATTCTTGGCACTGCAGTTTACCAGCTTGAATGACATGGGGAAGTTTCTTTATATCTCCAGGCCTCTCTGGCCTCATCTGTGCAGTGGGGGTATAGCAGTCGGCCTTTGCAGGTTTCTCCTGACAATCTGATCCTGGGGAAGAGCAAGGAGGGAGAGAAAGCATTTCTAACTAGGAGTTTGACAATCTCATTACAACAAAGCTACTTGTGAGTGAAAGTAAATATGTAAGACTTTAAAAGGGAGACAGACTTGAATTCACCTGCTTGTTCAGCCTGGTACTAGTCTAGAGGAATAGGTTGTCTTCATCAACACGGTCACTTCAACTGGGAGGTGAACACTCAGGGTTATAAGAGATAAGAGACTGCCTACATGTTGCCAGTGGTGAATAAATATTTTCCTTTTGAAGAAAAATGGGAGTAAAAGGTCATGTCATGTCCATTTCTCTAGCTGTGAGTTTCATGAAATATTTAATATAGATTTTGGCATCTATGTTACCCCATGCAGATTTAAGGTTAATCTTAAAATAAAACCCTTATTTTTTTCACTTTAATTTTTATTTAAGTACTTCTGTAGAATTGCTTCAAATCCTAATTGGATTTTATCACCTGGCACAAAAGAACAATAAAATGAGAAAATAATCATAAGTGTTATTATTCTTTGGTTTGATAATGGTATTTGTCCACACCTTAAAAAAAATAGTTCTTGGCGCATATACATTTAAGATACCTAATGAGTTGGACACAGTGATGCGAATCCATGGAATCCCAACAACTCGGGAGGCTGAGGCAGGAGGATTGCAAGTTCAAAGCCAGCTTCAGCAACTTAGTGAGGCCCTTTGCAGCTTAGTGAGATCTTGTCTCAAAATAAAAAATGAAAAGGGCTGGAGATGTAGCTTAGTAGATAAGCTAAGCTTGGATTCAATCCCCAGTACAAAAAAAGATTACTGAAATATTTATAGTTGGAATTGTAAATATGTTTTGGATTTGCTACAGAATTAACTGGGAGGGGAGAAAAGATAAGGATAGAGATGAAACAAGACTGGTCATGATCCTGTCATTACTGAAGCTCGCTGACAGGTAAGGAAGAGGTGTTATTTATTCTACCTCATTTCGTATATGTTTGGAAAAAAATTTTTTTTTTTTGTATTAGGCATTGAACCCAGGAGCGCTCTACCACTCAGCTACATCCTTAGTCCTTTTTATTTTTAATTTTGACACAGGGTCTCCCTAAGTTGTCAATGCTGTCCTAAAACTTGCTATTCTCTTGC